AAGGGTTTAGGAAATTGATAATAAACGATAAAAGGGTTTATCAATATACGGTGAAGGGTTTAGGAATTTAATAAACCCTTTTCATAGGGTTTATTATCCTACGAATTTTTTTTACAGTGTACATGGACTATTAGCGATCTTAGGATACCATACCGTAGGACTTCTATGAACATAATGTCCAATATCTGTGTGTCTGTTACCGAGTGAAAGGTTAAAGTTTTAAGGTTGTACATCAAAGAAAAAAAGCTACTGTGTAGTATGCACGAATTCTCGTTAGTGAAAATATATTCTTTCAATTTCTCGCTTTAAATGAAATTACTGATGGCATGAGTATCGATTCATGAAAGCTTTGATCTAATTGATTTAATTTAGCAGCCATAAGCATATCCAATCATGGGTGCACTGTGTTCAGGATCAAACACGGTTCTCCCAGTGAATAAAAAAGAAGGACCTATTGTAAATGAAGAGACGATCATCTTGTCTGCACAAACATCAACAACAATCCCGGTACCTATCGAATTAAACGAAAATCTTGAAGATTTCACAGTGATATGGCTTGATGCCGGAATTGATACTTCGCCAGATTGTGTCGATACAAAACAACATTTACAAAGTATAATTAATTATCTTAAAACATTCACAAACTCTGTCGAATGTGTCGCTTACATAAAAACTGTTAAGGAGGAAAATGTGTTTCTTATTGTATCCGGTGCATATGGTGAAAGTGTTGTACCAGAGATTGAAAATCTGCCACAAATTCGCGTCATTTACGTTTTTTGTCAGAATGAAAAAAGGCACGAACAATGGGTGTCAAACCATCCAATAGTGCATGGTATTTTTACCGACAAACAAAAACTTTACAAAAAATTGACTGAAGATGTTCAATTAGCTGATGGCAGCTTATTGCCAATAGCTATATTGAGTCCTGATTCAAAAGAAAATCAAGTAACTGATTTAAATCTGCAAAGTGCAAAATATTTGTGGTCACAAATACTGATTGAAACTCTGCTTCGATTTCCTAGTTCAAAAAAAGCGAAGAATGACATGTTGAAGGAGTGTAGGGGACAATATTATAATAACAAAAACCAACTCGACATAATTCGAGAATTTGATAAAACATATTGTGCGGAAAATGCTATTTGGTGGTATACAAGAGAATGCTTCTTATATAAAGTTGTCAACAAAGCATTGCGAACGGACAATATCGATGTTATCTTCAATTTTCGCTTTTTTATAAAAGATTTGTACGATCAGCTATCTGAGATGCATGCAGATTTTATTAAACCATCACCGGCTATCATAAGTGTTTATCGTGGTCAATATATGTCTATGAAAGAATTGAATATAATCCGAGAAAATATTTATGGTCGTATTTCGATGAACACATTTTTATCTACGAGTGCAACAAAAGAAACAGCATTAGCATTCATCATAAACAATTATCAGCGCACAGATTTAGCAGCTGTTTTGTTTCAAATTGATATTGATTCTACTCTTGCTACAAAGCCATTTGCCAATATTAAAGATAAAAGTTATATGAAGGAAGAAGATGAAGTTTTATTAGCTATGGGTTCAACATTTTCTATAAATAAAGTTGAACAGGATGGACAGGGAATTTGGAATATTAATTTAGTGTGGGAAAACCAAGAGAATACAGAATTAATAGCGTACATGAAAAAATCACTTGGCCAATCGACAAACCTGGAAACACTTGGTACTGTTCTTATTAACATGGACGAACTGTATAAAGCGGACAGATATTTCAAACTCTTACTTGATCAATTACCTAGCAATCATCCCTCAATTGCCGACATATATCTTCAAATGAATACCATTGCGCTTGGTCAAAGCAAAATTGAAATAGCAATTGAATATTTAGATAAAGCAGAGAAGATAATTCAAATTTCTTATCCTCCATACCACCCATGTTACGGCTCACTTTATTATCAGATGGGACGAACGAAATTCGCTCAACTGGACTTATTGTCTGCACAATCGAGTTTCGAAAAAGCAGCAGAAATTTTTTTAAAAACTACACCATCACATGACATTAAACTAGCTGCTGCTTATGTTCAAGCAGGTTACGTGTCTTCTTTAATTGGTGAGTCGTCGATTGCTTTAGATAAACTACAAAAAGCACTTGAAATTCAACTCGTAAACTTACCAACTTATCATCCAGAGATTGGAGTCACATATCAATATTTAGGATCGGCACAGTTGTTATTAGGCCGAGTTGAAGATGCGCTTCATAGTTTTACAAAAGCATTGGAAATTTACCGCAAATCACTCTCTCCATCTCATCGCCAATACTTGACGACATGCTTAGCATTATTTCAGCTACATAGTGCAAACAATAATGATAATGAAATGATTTTTTATATGGAAGAATTAAAAAAGAATTTTTCAAGTATGATCACACAGAATATCGGAGATACTGCTTTTGCATCTCTGACTGTAGCAGTTATGAACGGATCGGCTAGTGATGAGGAGAAAAATGCCTTCGCAGCTCGTATACAACAAATGAGTACACCTTGGGAGCGTGCTTTTCTGGAATTACATCAACTTATGCAAGAAGTTGATGCTATGATGAAGAATGGCGATTATGACTCAGCTCTAAAACTCATTGATAGGGCTCTGTTACAATGTCAACAGTGTTTATCATCAGTACCTATGTTGGCAGCCTGTATGTATTTCAATAAGGCATCCATTTATTTCAAGAAACAAGACTTCAGTACAGCGTTATCCAGTATTGACAAAGCAATAGAAGTCTTACCATCCAATCATCCAATGCTTCAAAGTTATCATCAATTTGTAGGTGATATTTATCGCGAGGATGGTACACAGAAAATGAACCTTGGTGAACTTGATACAGCTCTGGTAGCGTATATAAAAGCAGTTAATTTATATATTACACATATACAACCGCCTATGCATGAAAGTATTGCTCAAACTTATGGGTTCATTGGAGACATTTATGTCCGCAAAAAGGAATTCGATTTAGCCATGGTTAATTTGTCCAAAGCACGTAATTCACTACCAACAAATTTATTAGTGCCCCAACATTACCTGTATAACACCGAGCAGGCTTTAGCTTATTTAATTTACAAAAACAGCATTCGACATATGATCATTGCGTTAGACAACGAAGCATTAGAAGGTTTTCGAAAAGCTCTTTCTATTTTTGTAGAGCAAACTTCTTCACCAAGTTATGAAATTGCAACCGTCCATTTCTACATAGGATATTTGTGCACAAAGATGACTAATAAATCACTGGCTGAAGAACATTTTCGTTTTGCAATAAATTCAGCACCGTCAAATCATCCTGTGCTACAGATTGTAAACAAAACTTCTTCCGAAATCGAACAGAAAACTCTTGATTTAATTCTCGCTGATTTATTGATGATTGATTCGAAGCAGTTCGAAGTTGATTATGTCCCTCGTTTATATGAAAAAGCAATATCATATTATCAGCAATATCCTATTGAAACATCTCAAGTAAAACTTGCAACCGTTTATCTTCAACTTGGATCATTTTATCAAAAAAACAATAATGATCATCTTGCTAAAAAATATCTCAATGATGCTTATGCCGTTATGCCACCAGACTCTGAAAATATTAATGAAACTGAAAAGAATTGTTTTTTGGAGTTCGCTGAAGCTCTATCTAACTATGCTACGCACTGTATGACCAAATTTGACTTTGATACTGCATTTCCACTACTTAACAAATCACTTCGTATTTATGAAATGTTTATATCCCTAACAGATCCAAGAATTATAATCATTTACCGTCAATTGGCTGGAGTTTACGCCGTTAGACTGAATATTCCATTAGCAAAGATGTATTTAGAAAAAGTAGTAGCCAATCCAATAAATCAAGAGATGTATGAAGAAAGTAAGTGTAACTCCTATAAAAGAAGAATAATAAAGAAGGTGTAGAATAGTTGCTCACTAGGATGATTTCTCGTCAGACACTTGCGTGTGAAACTGATTTTTGCTCATTGATGCTAGGTAATGTAGCTGAGTAAATCTTCCTCCAGTCATAATGCAAGACCTGTGTTAACTAATACGTTTGAGTCTAGAAAAGTATGCAAATAAATCTTTCTATGTTCAGAATATAACTATAATAATTAGTAACATCGTATACATTTAAAAATGATAATGGTCAAAGCATGATTGAACACACATTTACCCAAACACTGTCTATGAAAGTTGTCATACATTCGATAAAATACACTATGACAACAATGATAACGACTATCATCTAAATCCAAAGAATGCTTCATTGTTTTTTTTTT